ATGTTTAAATGGGCGGGTGTCACCTCGTTTTGTTGAGAGCACTTTGGCTCCGCGGCATCTTTGGTCTATTGGAATTGAACTAAGAGCCCTAATTGGGCAAGTGCATCAGGAGCCTAGATGCCGTTACGTCTTTCACGGGCTCTCTACGCCAAGCCGGATTGTGGTCCTGTATGGCTGGATGTCGCTTTGTGGCGTCGATTTACGTTTCTGTGCTGATTCAGTCTCTTAAAGAAGGACCTAGGTGCCAACTATGTACTGTATTACAGATATATAGACCGCGCGTGGTCGTGTCGATGTCATAGGGCATCAAGCAAACAGCATTGAAGAAGAATGGATAAGGACGATTCCTCAGTTTCTAGCTTGGACTGGGGGGATAGCAGTGACGACTGCACACCTGAACCTTCCACAAAAGCTTCGAATCCAACTGAAACGAGAAATGGGCAGGGTCCAGCATTGCCCCAGCGCCACATAAGTTTCTCTGCAAAGCCAGGAATCCTGAGAGCTTCTGAGTGGAGCGGCGGCCAGGCAGCTTCTTCCAGTGGCTCACAGCCCAGCAGGTATCCTCTCACGACACGAGGCACGCAAGGACGGCCACGGGCACCATCGGCTCCGGCAGTGGGCGGGGATAATATCCCAAGAACCGTCAATCTCACCGCCCTGAGCATTACTGTCAACCTCAGGTCCGGACAAAACCCTTCACTGACATGGGACTCCGACGAGAGACGATGGCGGGGTGGTCCGCCCGGCAGAGAAGTCTGGCCGGCGAAATGTCTGAAAGCCTGTCTTGGAAGCCTTTCAATTGAAGCCTCGTGCGGCGATGGTGTGTCAAATGTGGTTTTGGAGAATGGAGAAGGGACAATATTAGACTCCAAGGGTTGTCACACTCACGTAAAATTGGATCAACAACAGCAAGGAAAACTGCTGGAGACTACTAGAGTCGTCGTGGACATTTCTTGACTGTCATTCAAGTATCACTCGGATTGCAACTCAATACATCAATGTGCTGGACCACATACCGTTACTGCATACGCCGTTTTGCCTGCACTGGTGCTCCGTCGCTTAGACAGCGCCTCCTGGTTCTTACCCTGGCAGATGGTAGAAACGTAGCAATGTCTTCGCCAGCTCTGCTATTTGTAGAATCTCGTCAGGTACTGGGGTATGTCCTCCCACAAATGACCAGCTTTGCCTCGGACGTTCGGCTTTGAGTCGGGTATCGACCCACTCCATGATTGTCGCTCCATCCTTTTCCGCTGCGAGCTGCAGAGCTGTGCGCGAGAGTGTGGTCGCATGTATGGCATCTATCTGCGACTTGTCGCATTCAACTTCGAATGAGTAAAACATCTGAGCTCGACGTCTCTGATCTTTACTAAAAGTAGACTTGACGCAGGTTGTCGCCTCGCAGAGGTTGTGGTCCGAC